ACGGATTCGGGCATTGAGGAGGTGGACAGTCGGAGCAGCAGCGACCACCCGCTGGAGACCATCAGCAGCGCCTCCACGCTGAGCAGCCTGTCTGCCGAAGGCGGAGGCAGCGCAGGGGGTGGCGGCGGTGCTGGCGGAGCGAGTGTGGCCAGTGGGCCAGAGCTGCTGGACACGTATGTGGCCTACCTGGACGGCCAGGCCTTCGGGGGCAGCGGTGCCCCCGGCCCGCCGTACCCTCCCCAGCTCATGACTCCCTCTAAGCTCCGGGGCCGGGCGCTGGGGGCCAGCGGAGGCCTGCGGCCCAGCCCCAGTGGGGGACTTCGAGACCCTGTCACTCCCACCAGCCCTACGGTCTCAGTGACGGGGGCCGGAACCGATGGGCTGCTGGCCCTGAGTGGTTGCTCGGGACCCTCGGCAGCAGGCGTCACTGGGGGTCCAGTGGCCGTAGAGCCGGAAGGCCCACCAGTGCCCTTGCCATCCGCCACCTCCCTGCCTCGGAAGCTGCTGCCCTGGGAGGAGGGCCCCGGCCCACCGCCACCACCCCTGCCCGGGCCCCTGGCCCAGCCTCAGGCCTCAGCCTTGGCCACAGTAAAAGCCAGCATCATCAGTGAACTCAGCTCCAAGCTTCAGCAGTTTGGGGGCTCCTCAGCAGCTGGTGGCGCTCTGCCCTGGGCCCGGGGAGGCAGCGGGGGCAGCGGGGACAGCCACCACGGGGGAGCCAGCTACGTCCCTGAGAGGACCTCCTCTCTGCAGCGGCAGAGGTGAGCCAGGGCTGGTGATTGGCAGTGAAGGCCAGAGGGACCGATGCTGTGGGTACCAGAGTCCACCTTTCCCAAAGATGCTGTGGGTACCAGAGTCCACCTTCCCCAGACCTGAGTCTCTTTATGGTCCCAGGCAGTAGAAAGGAAACAGAAACCAGGCTGGCTTGGAGGAGTTTGCCCTCAAAGAAGCATGCTGTCACAGGTGCTTCAAACTTCCCTTTATCAGTAGCTTCTGTGGTCTCCTCCCATCACCATGACAACCCACATCCCCATGATGAACAAAAAAGAGTTATTAACGAAAGAGACCGGAGCCCAACTTGCCAGTGTCTGTTTCCTCGGCAGGTTGTCAATTCTGACAATCCCTGAAATCTGCAAGTCCCTCGAGCCCAGTGCAGCTCCAGACAAGATGCTCTAGGGCATAGTGGTTACAGGTGTGGTTCTGCAGGCGGGATTCTTGGGTTCTGGTCCCGGCCCTGCACTTTCTGACTGAGTGATCTCAGGCAAAGGAGTCCACTTCTCTGTAGAAGGGAGATGGCCTAGTACCCACTTAAAAAGAGTTTTCGAGGTCACTATTATAACATGATGGGGGGAAGGGAGTGGCCTCTTACAGAAGCCCAGCAAGTACAGAGGGGGAGACACGGGATGATGCAGTTTTCCAAAGCAGCTAGCGAGCGGGTATCGCCACCGAATTCGAGCTCATTCAAGACCTAGTCTTCGGAAAAGTTGAGTCACATCCCTGACTCAGACGCACACACAGAGAGTGGAGAGAGGTTTTTTTCCAATCCTTCTGTCTATCTGCAGAGCTCACTCTAACTCCGTCTGAAGGTCTGATGTCCTTATAATTGGTATTCGAATGTGGTTTTATCAGGCCTTGGAAATCTTAAGAGTTGAATCTTAAGGCAACTCATCGATTATCCATAAGTCTTCTGGGGAGAGGAAAGGGTGCTGAATTTAGGCAACACCTGAGCCAGTTTTTGATTTACCACCTACTACGTGCTGGCTGCCCTTCCGGGTGAGAGGGACCCAGGACAGGCAACGTGTCACCCTCATAGAGCTAGTAGCCTAATGAGACAGAGGTGAGGCCAGACGACAAAATGATGGCAGTCGTCCTAGGAGAAAACATGCCATCCACGGTAGGATGGTGAGAGAAGGTCTCTCAAATAACGGGCAAGACGAGCGGAGGCTGGAGGAGGGGCCGGAGCAAACCGCGTGGCCGCCTGGGAAGACCGAGCTAGGCCAGAGGGAACGGCCGGTGCAAAGGCCCTGAGACTGGACTGTTCTGGAAGGAGCTAAAGGGATGAGGGGAACCTTTTCCTCCCCTTGTTTCTTCTCTCTTTCATCTCCCTCTCCTCCTCTCTCTCTCTCTCTCTCTGGCCCCTGACCCCTTCCATCTCTCTCCCCCGTGAACGCCCACCCTCTTCTCCTTCCTTCCTCCCTCAACGTCTCCCCGTCTTCCACTCTGCTGTGACTGGCCATACCCCCCGAAAGGCAGTATAGAATAGTGGTTAAGAGCTCAGACTTTGGTGCCATATAACCGGGCTCTGCCACTTCCTGGCTGTGTGTCCTTAGGCAAGTTACTTAACCTCTCTGTGCTGATGATGCTGATGCTGAGGATGAGGATGAGAGGATGATGGTGGTGATAGTAACCGGCATCAGGGCTGTCAAGGGGATTAAATTGAAATGCGATGTGTAAAGAGCACTTAGAACAATGCCTGGCACACGTGAGCGTCAGTAAGTGGCGGCGATGATTATTATTATCACTTAATGTCTCTTTTTCTTTCATCTCTCTCGACTGTCACCCTCTCCCTGTCCTGTCATTTTTCTCTCCCTTCATCTCTGTCCCGATGGCCATCTTACCTTCCCGGCTCCTTCTATCTCTTCCCATCTCTCTGCCCCTGTGTCTCTCTTCCTCTCTCCCTGTATCTTGACCTCTTCCTCTTCCTCACCCTGCCCTTACCCCCCACCCTCCGAACCCCTCTCCTCCACCCCTGCCCCCTTTGTCACATTCCAGACTCTCGGATGACTCCCAATCCTCGCTCCTCTCCAAACCCGTCAGCAGCCTGTTTCAGAACTGGCCTAAACCACCTCTGCCACCACTCCCCACAGGAACGGGGGTCCCGCCTTCAGCTGCTGCGGCCCCGGGGGCCACCTCACCCTCAGCCTCGTCCTCCTCCACGTCCACCCGCCACCTCCAGGGTGTGGAGTTCGAGATGCGGCCGCCTCTGCTCCGCCGGGCGCCCAGCCCCTCGCTGCTGCCCGCCTCGGAGCACAAGGTCAGCCCCGCGCCCCGGCCCTCGTCCCTGCCCATCCTGCCTTCCGGACCCCTCTACCCGGGCCTCTTTGACATGCGCAGCTCGCCCACGGGAGGGGCCGGAGGCTCGGCTGACCCCTTCGCTCCGGTCTTTGTGCCGCCGCACCCGGGCATGTCCGGGGGGCTTGGCGGAGCCTTGTCGGGGGCCTCCCGCTCCCTGTCGCCCACCCGCCTGCTGTCGCTGCCCGCGGACAAGCCGTTTGGCGCGAAACCTCTGGGCTTCTGGACCAAGTTCGACGTGGCTGATTGGCTGGAGTGGCTGGGCTTGGCGGAGCACCGAGCCCGCTTCCTGGACCACGAGATCGACGGCTCCCACCTGCCCGCCCTGACCAAGGAGGACTACGTGGACCTGGGTGTGACCAGGGTGGGCCACCGCATGAACATCGACCGCGCGCTCAGATTCTTCCTGGAGAGGTGATGGCTGGCTTGGACGGACCAGCCCGTCCACCGAACCCTTGAGCCCGCTGGCCTCTTGACCTCTGACCCCTGACCATCGTTCTCTCCCCCGGGGGCCAGGGGACTCCGCTCAAACTGCGCCCTGCCCCTTGTCTCCCAAGGCTGGAGGTCACCAGGTGGCCCGGTTCCGGCCAGACATTTGCACCTCACGGGAGGGGGCAGCTGACCGAAGACTGAGTGTGTGTGAAGCGGGAAGCGGAGGGTGGGAACAGCGGGAGTCACAGCGGGGGGGGGGATGGAGGAGGAGGGAAGGGTCGACTCTGGGGAGGGGGACCAGACAGAGCCATAGAGGGCCGGCCCTGAGCCTGAGTGGACGGGGGTCACCCCCAGGCCGGCAGGGGGCGCCCTCGGCTTCCACCACCTGCAGCCCTTCCGACAGCCCTCCCCGCCCCCTCCAGGCCCCTCTGTCCTGTCTCCCTCCTCTCCCTGGCACACACAGCAGCCCCCCCAGCCTCTTGCACGCTCCTTTGCACGCCTGCTTGCCTCTCCCCCCTCCCTGGGCTACAATTTTGCACAAGTTTGCCCTCTCGCTGTCTTGCACACTCCGCCTTTGCCCCCGGCTCGCGAGGCCCTGTCGGCTCTGTGTCCTTCGCTCACACGTCACACGTCACACGTCATTTCTCCCCTCACGCCCCACGCCCCCTGCTCTCCTCACCTCTGGCTTGCACCACCACCCCCCCAACCCCACCCGGACACACCTCACTTCTGGAAATCTCCGGACCCTTGCTGCAGACACACTTGGGACACCCTTCCCCTCCCCCACCCGCAGGCCCCGCGCACACACGTCCGTTCTCTGGAGTACCTGTCTGTCTGTCCCGCCCTTGCGCACCTGCCGTCCCGTGCGCCTCTCCCGACGTGCCTCCATTTGCCCTCGCATTCTTGAACCCCCCCACATTCCGACCCTATCCACCTGTCAGCGGCACCCCCGCGCCCCTCCCCGTCGTCCGGCGCTGGCACTGGCACTATTTATTGCGCTGCTTGCACACTCGCCTCGCGGGAGCCGTCTCCCTCCCTCACGCGCGCCCCGGCCCTGTCCTCCAGGCTCCCGCGCCGCTGCCTCCTCCCTTCCCGAACCCACGCCCCGCGCCATTCTCGACTCCCGTGGACTTTCTCGCACACTCTTGCACACGCCCCTTCCCTGGCACTTCTGCCGTTCTCTCGACGCCGTTCGCTGCTCCTGGACGGTGCTCCCGCACGCCGTGGCTTTGCTGCGCGCTCATTCTTGGATTCCCGCTTGTCCCCGTCGGCTCCTGGGCGGCCGTCGCCGGCTCCCTCGGGGACGCTACTGCCTCTTACCTTCTGCACATCCGGCTCCTTCCACACACTCTTGGGCTGCGTTAGCGTTTCTTTCCCTGACACCTTCAGCTGTTGTCCCTGTGAGGGGACCGCTCCTGCCACGTCTTCGCGCTTTTCTCTTTCTGTCGAGAGACGACCCTATGCACACCCGCTTCTCGTTCACCGTGCTTCGTCCTCTCCCTGCTCCGGGCTTTGCCCGCCTCATGCCCTACCTCCTCTCGCTCTGCCCATCCTTCCTGGGCTCTCTATCCATCCATTTTGCACGAAGACCTCTCCCCGCCCCCCCCCAAAAACCCTTCCGTCTCTCCAAGAAACTCCTTCTCTGTCCAGCATGGCTGCCCCTTCCCCGCACGCTTCCTCTCCCTTTATTCCTGGGGCTTGGGAATCTTCAGCCTCCCCTTCCCCTGGGAGGCCCCCTCCCCTACTGTGGGTAAAGGGGGGAGGGCATCGCCCTCAGGTCCCCCCATGTTCAGCTGCCAAAGAAGGGAGCTCCCCCTCCTTATTCCAAGTCCATTCCCCCTCTGCTGCCCCCCACCCCCGAGGGGGGGGCTCCGTCCATGGGGGGTGAGGGTGCTTGCAGCCCTCTCCCCTCACCACGTCAGGGATCTGCGGGGAACCTTGTGGGAGGGCCGTGGGAGGGGGGAGGGGTGGCGAGCAGGGGGGGCGGAGGTCGCGCT